TGTTTGAGATTCTCAGAGCTAACAAGCTGCAGCCCCTGTAAACTCAAACAGAACCCTTGCTTCAGCCACCAGAAGCGTCTCTGTTCATCTCTCATTGTGCTGCACAGCCCAGAGTCATTCTTGGTCAGTGTTAGAAGTTCTCCATCTATTCCTCATGAAGCACATCTGTATGACCTCCACATGCTGCTGCCACATCTGGACTAGTTGACATTTGTCAAGACTTGTCTTCTTTTTTTTTTTTAATGGCAGGGTTTCACTATGTAGCTGTACTGGAACTCACTCTAGAGATCAGGCTGGCCTTGAACTCATAGACTTCTGCCTGCCTCTGCCTCCTGAGTGCTTGGCTTGGATTAAAGGTGGTCACCCCACCACCTAGTGGCAACTTGTCTGTTTCTTTACTCTGTTAATCCACAGCATATCATCGGATGTATGTTTTCTTTCTTGTTCTAAACTGTCTTTTATACAATTCTTTTTGGAAAAGAGACCCTTTATGACATTTTCCCACCGTTTTGGCATTTTTGGCCCCTTGAAAGATAGCACTCTGTGGTTCAGTCCATCTGCTGCAGTCAGACAATGTTAGCATCCTGCAGTGTTAGAAGAGTGTGATCCCCATTCTCCTTCACTTCCTTCTTCTCCGTGCTAAGCACAGGAACATTTCCCATGAAGTGAACCATGGACCATGTGGCCAGTGTCTGCTTCCTTACATAATGTAATGCTCGCTCTTCATCTTTCCTGCTTCCCTCACCACGACATCTGTTTTCATGGCTAAAATTGGAACCTGGGCTCCTCTTCTCTCTATTACTGAATATCTTGACTGATTCACCAGTAGAAAATTATCAATAATGCTGCTAGGAATGTTTCTGAACATGCACTGCTAAAGCCAATGTCTATTTCCCATACACACGTCTCCCCCATTAGTGTTGCTGGCTAATAGCACATTTAGCTCTTGGAGCAACTGTGATACTCCCACACAGGTTTTATGAATGAAGGATTCTGCCAGAGCAGAGTGGGTCCCAGTGTGAGGCCTACCATCAGCCTGGATGCTTTAGTCTTGAATTAAAAGCTTCAGGTGACCCTGATCCAGTCACTGAAGCTTGAGCACCTGAAGTCATGATTCCAGCAAGCTCAGGAGCCATGACCCCTCATGTTTGCAGTTGGGTCCCTGTGCTGTGCTGTGGGCATCATCCTCTGCTGTAGAACCCACCCCACCTGCTCTTCCCTCCCCTCCACATACTCTGCCATACTTGGCCTAAATGTTTATGTTCAGAACAGGCCTGCTCCTAGACACAAACCCTGCCACTCTCTTGCTCACTGAAAGAGAAACCCAAATCCTTCCCTTGGTTCCCACTGGGGTAATAACAGGAAATACATCATACAGGGTTCTCTCCTTCATGTCCTTCCCATAGAGGTCATATTTGGTGGCAATGTAGTTGAGAATGGCTCTGGTCTGTACTAGCTTCATCCCGTCAATCTCCACCATGGGCACTTGGTCAAACATCAAATTCCCATCTGTGAAAAGATAGAAGGAAAAAGTCTGTCAACTGTCCAAGTCTCAGTTCTCGGGAGCATAAAACTATTACATGTCTGAACCTGCAGAGGAAGGATGAAGGATCAGATGCCTGTCTTTCCAGTGGAATCTCTTCATTTCAGCCCCTGTTTTCTCTCTGTCTCACCCCTCTCATCCTCTTTTGAGCATCTCTCATTCACCTCTATTTCCTACCCACACGCATGTTATATCTCTCATGTGTGTTTTTATGTTCATGTCCCTGGGTACATTCAGGAGGTGAGGCAGGACAGCCAAGGGTCACCATGCAACAGGGATAGGTATGGAATTGTGAAAGTCTCATTGTGTTCATGGCATTAGGGTGTTGAAAGACAGTTTCCTATGTAGTGAGCCACCGTGTGGTCCTCCAGCCTCTCTCTGTCAGGGGATAGTAACTCATCAATCAGTAGCTATAATAAAAATGCTCAAGAAAATCACTCCAGCTGTCTCTCCATCCATGAATTAATCCCTGGTCATGAGTTTGTGTGGTTGATGGGCAGTGTGGGTAAAACACAGAGGAAGTGAGTGATTGTGAGTGAACTAGCTCACTCTGATGCAGAAGAAAATGAGAAAGCATCCACAAGTCACCAGACAAATCCTTGGAGATATCTGACCACACCCCTGTCCCCACCGTTCCCATTCAGACCACTCAGGGAGCCCCACCCCCTACATCCATCATTCCTTAACTCTTCCATTCAGACTGTTCCCACCCACCACACAACATCGCCTTCAGACAGCCTTCCCTCAGGTGCCTCAATGAGGTCAGACAGATACTCAGTGTTACCTTTTTTTAACTTTTCCAGATCTTCTGGACTCTGTATGAACTTCTCTTCAAACTGAAAGCAGAAAAGATAAAGCATGCTCATTGGCTCCTTCAGTGTTATTGCAGAATTTTGAGCTTCAGTGATCCCTGTTGGGTACTTCATCTGCAGAAGCTAAAACCTCCAGTAGGTACAAAGGAGTCTGATCATGGCCACTTGGAAATTCCTATTAGATCCCTCAACAGAAGGATGGTGAGCACAACTAAGCTGCTCACTCTTGGAGTGTTCCTCTACCTTGAATCCATGATGGCCATGCTGAGGTCCTAAGAAGAGAGTGATCTCACTGGCAGGCAAGCACTGGGGATTTGTTGAGATTTTGGGCTCTCAGGAAAGCCTGCTAACTCCAGTAAGATCAGGATAGAACATTCCAGATCTCGAACATGGGATATGACATGGACCCATGACCACTTGGGTTTTGTTTCTTCAGGATTTAGTTTTACTAATTTTAATTGTGCATGCTTGCAAATGTGTGTGTGTGTGTGTGTGTTTGTGTGTGTATGTGTGTGTGTGTGTGGCTTGTACATGTGAATACATCCCTCTTGGTGGTCAAGATCATGAAGGCCAGCACTTAGAGATTCTCTTGGGGCTGGAGTAACAGACAGTTATTAACTGCCTTATCTGGGTGCTTCAAACCACAATAGATTGTCTGCATGTACAGTAAGAACTCTAAGCAGCTAAGTCATCACACAAGCCCCCTCTTAAAGTTGCTTATAATTTGGTCTCAGGACTATTCTTGGGTTTTTCAAATATCCATTTGTTTTATGTATGAGTATTAATGTTTTTGTGTGCACATACCCAATGACAACCCACCAAGGCCTTTTACATATATTGCTGGGATCTGAACCCATGTTTAATCCTTAGGACCAGCCATCTCTCAAACCCTCTGGAGTAATCTAAGCCACTCTTGCCTCTTCATATTTTAAAGAAATTATTAGCTTTACAGGGTTGAAACATGGCTTCAACCTTGCTTGGCGAGACAATTTGCTGATGGTTCCATAACCCCACAGGATTGGGTTGATAGGCAACGTAAGGTAAGCATCAGCAACCTGCAGAGCCTTCAGAGAGGTACAGGGAGAGCTGCCTGTTGGTCATCACAGACAGGAGCTGAATCCTGATCGGTTGGTGGGGGTGGAGTCGATGGTGAGATTGATGTCAATGCCCAGCCTGCAGGCACATCGAATCTGGAAGGTCTGAGCCAGGGTCTCTAACAGCCCTGCCACTGCCTTCTCAGCCACTCAGCAGAGGAAGGCTTCTGTGCAGATGGCCCCATCCCTGCCTTCCTCTTGTGATGAATTCAACATCCCAGTGGCTTAGCACATATCCCTGAGCCACAAAGCTATCACGTAGACTCCGGACCCAGTTATGTGTTTATTTAAAGCATTCTCCCCCGGGGATAGCAATGGAACGTCTCAGTTCTTTCATTCGGAAAGGATCTACCCGAAGTCCTGTTCATTTAGGAATGGAGAAGGTGCGATTCCTCAGTTGAGGTAAACACGTTGTCATTACACTGAAGGAGCACACCAGCAGCCTTGCCAGGGTGCCACTTCATCCTTTAAGGCTCCCACTCTGATCCTATGCAAGGGCAAGCTTCCCAGCTGCTTAGCAGTGTCTACTACTTCATCCCCAAGCATTCCCAACTGCTGAGCTCCCTTGGTGTGAACCGGAGGCGTTGTTCCTCAAGGGTGCCTCTAGAGGGCAGTGCTAAAGCTTTACCAGCATTTTCTGCTCAGAAGCTTGAAAGGAAAACATTTAACTGCTGAAGGCTGCTGTCCTTCTCAGCTTGTGCCTGTCACACTGACTCTGAAGCTCACAGACATGGAGGCTGCCTGAGGATGCGAGCTCTTTCTTATTCGCCACTCATACCTTCCGGACAGCCCTGTGCCTGGTGTTTGATACATGAGAAACTGAAGACTGAGTATTGCTCTGTTTTGACAGGTCGTTTGTTACAATCTTTTGTGTCAGGCCTCTCATTTGTGGTGGGTCTTTTAAATTTAACTCTATTTAGTTTTCTGGTACAGTTTATCCCTTTTTATGTTTTTTTTATACTATATATGGAAAGTCCTCTCTCTCTCTCTCTCTCTCTCTCTCTCTCTCTCTCTCTCTCTCTCTGTGTGTGTGTGTGTGTGTGTGTGTGTGTGTGTGTTCTCCTGGGCATTTGTGCATGCATGCACATGTCTGCTCAATTGCCCATGATGGTCAAAGGCATGGGAACCCTCTGGGGTTAGAGTGACAGGTGTTTGTGAGCAGCCTGTACCAGTCCCCTGTACAAACAGTCTGGGATTCTAACCACTGAGCCATCACTTCAGTCTCTGTTCCTTTAAACCATCTTTATCATGGAAACTTCAGGTTCTCTGTCGTAAAACTACAAGATACAAATATCCTTCATCTGTCAGTCCCCAGCTTCAATAACCCCAGCTGTAGTCCACTCTGTGTGTCTCTGTGCCCATCTTCTGAGGCAGACTGTCATGTCATATACACTCGTGGTGTCTCATGTCCCCACCACAAACACCTCACAGAGCATATGTACTCCACACATACACACTTGTTTTGAAAGAACAGTGGCATTCCTAAAATCACACTATCATACTACAAATCTGTAATAAATAATTAGTGTCACCTAATAACCAATACTCAAATGCCTATTTCCACATGTCTCAGTATGTAATTTGATGAGTCTCACATAAGCAATTAATCAAGTAACTATTTGATTTTGATTTTTTTTCCTCCTGAAAAGGTCTTTTAATTGTGAATGTATTCTTCAAAGAAAGCACAGTAAAATTTCACTATTTCAAATCAACCCATCTTCTTTTTAGTATAAGACAATTACCATTTAATGCAAACTTCCCTCACTCCTCCTGGCATGGAGTCTCTCAGCTAAGAGAAGCATTTTAAACTGGATCTGAGGTCCAGCTGCAGAACACTGCACAACCTACCTCCACCCCTGCTGCAGCCAGGAGCCACCTGATGCACTCCATTCTGCCCCGGGCATTGAAGTAGTGAAGCACGGGCTTTCCGGCCATAGCAGCAACTGTGGTTCACTGTCTAGGAGTGAAAAGGCAGAGAGATCAACCTGGGGGAGCCTGTTTTGTGAGATGTGTTTACTAATGCACACTGGAGAAGGGCAGTCTTCCTCCTCCATGGTTGGCTTGCAGGAAGCAGAGGGAGAACTTCGTAACTTAATTTCTCACCCATTGGTGACCACCAACCTGCAATTGCACCAAACCAGTCTCAGCTGGCCATAGGCCTTCGCCCTGAGGACATAAAGCAGAGTTGCCAGGATTCTACAGTGATTAAAAACCTGGGAGCCTGTTGAGCCTTGGAAAGCAGAGCCATCCCAGAGGGGATGAGACACAGTCCCTCCTGGTTCTTTGGCTCCTAGACTACTCAGTTCAGCAGCTTCTGCTGGCTTTGTGTCACCCTGGCTGTGCCAATGCCCAAGTCTCCCCGGAGCAGAAGGGTCATCTCTTGCTGCTGTTGTGTCTCCCACTGTGAGACTGAACAGTGTTTCCTGGTGCAGAAGTAGAGTAGCTGATGTGTGGGCTTCCTATCCCAGGGGAACTAGCAGCCTTTGGTGCGCAGCACTCCATGGGTAAGTGCTCCTTGAACTTTTTAAATCAGAAAGTCCCTTGATGCAGAACTGTTGCTCTTGCAGGTTTACAGGAGAAGAGACTGATGTCTGTCCAGTGTCATGAGGAGAAAAGCCTGGTGAGTGCAGCTGAGTTCCTGCCCAGTTGGCAGACATGCTGGGTCCCTGCTGCTCAGAGATTGTAACTAACTCAAATCATTGTAACTCAACTCAACTCTTTAACTTGTGATATGATAGGAAGTTTCAGAGTCTGTCTTTTTAAAAGGATTCTACTTTTATTTGTCCATGGTGTGTGTTTGTGTGTGTGTGTGTGTGTGTGTGTGTGTGTGTGTTTGTGTTTGAAGTTCTTAAGTTAGAGGACTCTGCAAGTTCTCTGTGGGTTCAGAATGCAACTCAAGAGAAGACATTATTGATCTTCATTTTGCCTGGGAGGACAAGCCAGGTCCACTCCTCACTCTCCTAAATCCCATGTGCTTAGATTCCCTTGCAAATGCCTTAAGCCTCAGTGAAACCCTTTGGCTCAGTGAAACTGAAGGAGAAGGAGTAAAAGAGGAGCAGGAGAAGAGGAAGGAACAGAGGAAGGGAAGAACAAAGGACAGGAGAGGAGAAGGAGAGGAGAATTCGGACAGAGGTAGGCAGGGAGGGGCAGGGGAGGGGGTAATACAGGAAGAGCAATAGGTTGCTACTGGATGTTCAGTCTCCAAGCAATTCATATAAACCAGAACCAAATGCAGGTAAATCAATGGTAATGGGCATTGATTATGATCACAATCTATTATGTACAGGAGTCAAAATTATATAATAAATTCAATTATTTTATACAATTAGTGCATGCTGACTAAATAAAACACTAAAAAAAAAAACCTATTTTGCAGTAATACAGACCTGAGAACCCATTACACAGGTTATAAGAGAGAGTACTGACCTAGTGAGAGTCCTGGCTGCTTCTCCCCTCAGCTCCAGCACCAGCTCCAGCTCCAGAGGAGAGTGCATGCTACTTTAATAAGGTGACAATTCTTACAGAGAGTGTGGGGACCAATAGGAAACAGCCCCTCCCATAGACATGCATAGAGTCCAAGATTCCAGAGTTTCATGATAAACTAGAAAGGTGACAAGTCACAGGGAGGGGCTGACAAGCTACAACCTTCCCTGAAGATCTAGATCCATTCATATATTCCTTGGTTTTATGCTTATGTGCCCCTGAATCACCTCTCTTCCATGCTTCTGTGAGCAACCCTAAAGAGACATCTTGGTTAAGAAAGGAAGGAG